TCTCAAAGGCAAATTACTCACAGTATTGGCATTAATGGTCTGTTAGTCAGTTTGAAAGTTAATCATGAACAAATGGAATAATCTTTCAACGCTGATGCTACCCTATTAGCTTTTTTCTAAGAAAGTTTTAAGAAGGGCTACCCAGTTCCTTCCCTATGCCAGTAATTTAGACTAACTGATCACATCTTAGAGTCTCTACCAAGAACTGCATGGCATTTCCAGATGCCACCAGCCGGGAAAGTTGAGTGTTTACATTTGGGTGGGTTATTTTGTTTTTTATGATTTCAGATAAAGTCTCTCTATATCCCAGGCTGTCCTGGAATTTTCTATGTAGCCCAGGTTGTCCTGGAACTCTCTATTATCCTAGGCTGGCTTGGAACTCTCTATGTAGCCCAGGCTGGCCGGGAACTCTCTATGTAGCCCAGGCTGGCCGGGAACTCTCTATTATCTCACGTTAACTTCAAAGTCATAAAGATCCATTTGCCTTTGCCTTACAAGTATTGGGATTACAGGCATGTGTTATCATGTTTTAAATTCTTATTGTTGCATGGATATTATCTGTTTTTGTGGTTATATTTTTGTGAGTATGAACTCAGAGGTTCTTCTGAACCCAGAGGAAATTCTAACATGATTGTCAGTTTCCCCGGCTAGCGGCTGCTGAGGCTGCTGCTATCCCAAACACAAACTTAGTACAGTGACTGCCAGAACTCAGAGGCCCAACCTAGAAATGTGGGCGCAGTTGCCACTGCTTTATCTCATCCTGAACGTGACCCGATGGATGTCACCGTCGAGAAGCTGCCGAATCAGAGACACCGTGCACCTTTCCTTCGCGTTTACGACCACATCCTGCGCAGCAGCGTTTTCTGACTCTGTGGTTAAAACTGGCACACATTAATGTATAGCTCTGCAGATCAGGAATCCGAGCTAACGCTGTGATTTCAATCTCAGAACCATTAGGGCAGGAACTCCATTTCTTGGTCTTGAACAATCAGACAAAAGAAAAAATAATCTGAGAAGAACATGCATTTCTTCGGAGACATAGGTAGACACACGCAGGCAGAATTAACCCAGGACTTTCATTTAGTCATACAACAAACGCTGACTGCACATCTGCTATGGGCGAGGTGTCTAGTAGGGAAAAAGATATCCCCAGTGTCAGCCAGTAAAAAGTGGAAGGGGAAAGGCAATGAACAAATCAAACTCGAGAGTTATCTATGGCGGTTTTCATCATAGAACAAAATGTAGCACTGTGTTAGGATGTTGTCAGGGAAACCTCTGAGAAGATATTTTAGGTGAGAGCTGAGCGACGTTTATAACACAGCGGTGGATGAGATTCGTCATCATAATCCTCACTAGGATACGGGAGCGTTTGAAACAAGCAGGCAGCGCTAAAACCCAGTGCACACACACAGAGCATATTCCATGTTTGGATAGTGGGATACAGACATTTTTCTTGCTGTTTTGTCTTTTTCCTTTCGCTTTGAATTTTTTGCTCCTTGCTGTCTACCCCATGAGCCTTGCAGACTGTAGTGCTGTGCAAAGCTGTGTTTGGTCCTGTTCCTGTTCTTTCTCCTAGGCACACAACTCCTCAGACTCTTGTGTTTTCTTAGTGATAACTGTATGTTGCGATTCACAACCAAATCCTTTCAATATTCATGGGCTTATGCTAATGAGATGACTTAGGTTGGAACCCCAAAGTACCTCAGACTACACAGAAACCAGAGAGAACTTTCAGCCTCTTCTACTGATCTCTGGGAAAGTCTGTGAAGAGCTTGGGCAGTGAACTTGAGATCTTGAGGGCTGGGAATGAGAGCTTCCAAGCTGGCGATCACTGGGAGGCACTGGGCTGGACCCACACCTGGAGAAAGTCCCACCTGCTTCCTCCTATGCCTGTCCTGTGCTCTCTTCCATTTGACTGCTTCTGAGTCAAATAATTTATAATAAACCGTTAACAGTAAGTAGGGAGATGTCTGCATTTGTCCAGGCTGTATGGGTCCCTGTATTGGGGCTGATGTCTGAAGTGGGGGTAGCCTTAAGAGACAGAAGCTTCAACTTAACCATGGTGTCTGTCCGAACTCTGGGGATTAACCTCAGAACTGAATAGATGCTTTCCAACAACTAAACGGCTGTCTTTGGTTGTCAGTTTGTTGGTCTGACACCTCAGCAGAAACGTGTGGCTTGGAAAGAGGAAAGAACGAAAGGGAAGCAACGGATATGGGAACTTTGGTTCCCAATCGGCCATTTTTGTTCTGTGGAGCCGCAGCACTGGTGTCCTGGTGAACTTCTAAAGGTAAATTTGCCATTGGGCCCAACTCTCAAGGAGCCGATTCACAGGATGCCCAAGGAAATGCGAACTTGGAAGACAAGAAGTAAGATGTTAAAACCCTTTGACTGCTACTCTCATAGTTAAACTGTAGGCAGAAGAATAAAGTGGGTCAGGTCTTAAAGACAGACCAAGCTCAGATTGCATCCAGCCTGAGCTATGGATATTCGATTCCAAGCTGTCCTTACATTTTTGGAAAAAAATACATGGGAACAAAGTACAACCTGTGATATATCTGGGCTGGCGAGACGGATCAGTGGCCAGAGCATCTGCTGCACAAGCCTAGGACCCCAAGTTCAAATCCCCAGCGCTCATGTAAATGCCAGGCAGGTGTGGTGGTGCAGCTGTAACCCCCACATCAGCAGGCAGAGACAGGGAATCTCTCCAGCAAACCAACAACCCAGAGTAGCAAATTGGCGAACTCTGAGTTCAGTGGGGGAACCTGCCTTCACATGTAAGGTGGAGAGCAATCAATAACAACCCTCGATATCCGCCCCAGCGTCCATTCACTCATGTGCTTCTACACACAATATTCCCACACACGCGCGAAAACGCACGCACACTTGGAATATCAAGAAGGTGGTCCAGGTATGGGAGAACAAGACCAAGAACAGAAACCAGGGGTAGAGTGTGGAGCGAGTGACCTTACTTCGTAAGTCGGTGTCATTAGTTTCTACAAGAACCCATACTAGAACGGATTACAGGCTAATTTAGGGGTAGCATTTTGACTCTCCTTTTTCCTTTTTCTTTCTAGGACTGGGGGTCGAACCCAGGACCTTTCATGTGATAAGTACACGCTACCGTGAACAAAACCCTCTAGTACTGAATCTCACTTTCCGGAAGCTGCATGGTGGTCAGACACGGGTGGACTGATGCAGGACCCACAGCCCACAGCTCACTATGGAACAATCACGGCTTAGTCTTGAGGGAACTGCCAGCCTGAAACACTGGATAAGAGCCCCCAAAAGGCCTAGCTAATTTGAAGTGGTCTACGTAACTCCCCTATTAAATGCCAGGGGGAATATTCCAGATCAAACAGCTGATATACCTCCGAGTCAAGATCATCATAATTTCTGAGAGTCGCCTATCCCTAAGAAGGGCGGTCTTTCTCGGGTTTGTAGAAGCCCTAATACCAGAGCATCAAGAATGCAGAAAATGTCAAAATACAGGCATTATAATCGTTCCTGTAATGACTGGGTATCAAACGGATAGACAGAGGCTAAGGAAACACATCTGCTACAGGGAACCCTTTTGTGGGGACACTCGTGCATCTTCACTGCTGGGAAACTTAGCAGCTGTCCAAGAAGCTCAACTGAATTTGCTGCTTCCGCTTTCCCTCACAGGTCTCACAGGTGCTAACAAAAATGCTACAGTAATTAACAAGGAAATGAAGAAAAACAGAAGGCAGGGTCAAATGACTCATCTCGTCAAGGTAGACAGTTTTTAATGATTATTAATTTTTTCTTAGTCATTTAAGTTTTTAAGGACTATTAAATAAACCGATCTTTAATCCCAGCACTCAGGAGGCAGAGGCAGGCGAATCTCTGTGAGTTTGAGGCCAGCCTGGTCTACTGCGAGAGTTCCAGGACAAGCAGGGCTACACAGAGAAACCTTGTCTCAAAGAGAAAAAGAAAGGAAGAAGGAAGGAAGGAAGAAAGGAAGGAAGGAAGGAAGGAAGGAAGGAAGGAAGGAAGGAAGGATGCTACGAAGGAAGGAAGGAAGGAGGAACCAGCAAGGTGACTGAAACTAATCCTGACATCCTGATTGGACGGTGAGAGAGAACCAACTTCTACATGTTGTCTTTTGACCTCTACCCCCAATAATAATAATAAATAAAAATTTTTAAAAAGAATTGAATTGTTGGCTACTCAGTTATCTTTTGAGAACTGGCTGTTGGAAAATACTCCAAACTATGAACATGGGAGTTTTTTGTTTTGTTTTGAGACAGGGTTTCTCTAAGTATATTTGGATGTCCTGGAACTCGCACTGTAGACCAGGCTGGCCTTGAACTCAGAGATCTGCCTGCCTGTGCCTCCTGAGTGCTGGGATTACAGGTGTGCTCTACCACATCTGGCTACATGTGCTATTTTTATAACGGAAAATGATAAATGAGCATGTTTCATTTTGGGTTGTTTGAGACAGGGTCTCATTATTTTGCTTTGGTTATGTAGCCCAGAATGGCCCTAAATTCATGATTCTCCTGCCTCAGCTACATAAGAACTGCTATCATAGACATGTTCCACCAAACCTGGCAAATAAATAGTCTTAATATAATGTGAACAATTAATGAGTATCTTAAAATTTCAAAATATTGGTGTAATACTTGTGTGTGCGTGTGTGACTGTATGTGTCATGTGTGTGCCAGTACCCATGGAGACGAGAAGGTCACCGGGAGTTACTGGTGGGAGTGAGCCCCCTCCCCCACGTGGGCTGGGGGAACCCACTAGGACTCTCTGGAAGAGTAGGGTTACCTAGGTGCTGAGTCATCTCCCCCACCCCAATACTGATTTCATCTGGCAACAAACTATTAAATGCAAATGTATATTGAATAAATGACTCTGAGTTGATTTTCACTAAACCCACAGACACACATTTCCACTGGCGAGGTGGTTTCTTCTTCACACTCAACCGTAGCTAATCCGTAACCACAAAGTTTTAACGGTGCAGCTCGGTTTACCTCCTGTTTCTTCGTCTTCGTTGGTTGGGGCTTCGGTACTGTCCATATTTTCTACTTCATGAGGTTTGCTTAAACTGTAGTCACTCAAGGTTTCTGGGCTTTCTGAAAGACAAAGGAGTTATAAGGATGACGTCCACTCGAAAAGATCTGTGTAACTATGCCCTGAGTTCGACGTCAAGGTCACCCTCAGGGATAGCCAGCATTCCCCACCGATGCTCAGGCTCGGTTTCCAGTACTGGTAAGCGGGACTCACCTCGCTCACCCCAATGGAGTAGATATGGAAACTCTCAAGGTTTAGAACTGTGAATGAGATTCATGTATCGTTCTGCCATCTACAATTCTTGTAACTATTGCACTATAACGAACTTATGTTCCATGTAGACAGCAATTCTTTCTTCATTAGTGTATCTCACAGTGTTCAGTGGGATATAGTACTGCTGTCTGTGGCCAATAAGTATTACTGTGCAGTATTAAGAGATACTGAGCCTGAACACATGATACAACCCAATTTGAGAGAAATGCATTCCTGAAAGGAAACCTAGAAATTTCTCTATGCCAAATCTGCCTTCTCTTCCTGTTTATATCATGTGATTCCATGCAAACCTAATGGAACCCAAGTTCCTTCCTTCATTCATTTCATTTCTTGGTGCTATAAAACCGGATCTTCCTATATAGCCCATGCTAGCTTTAAAAGTCTATGCTGAGCTGGGCAGTGGTGGCATATGCCTTTAATCCCAGTACTTGGGAGGCAGAGACAGGCAGACCTCTGTGAGTTTGAGGCCACCCTGGTCTACAAAGTGAATTTCAGTACAGCCAGGACTGTTTCACAAAGAAATCCTGTCTTGAAAAACAAAAACAAAAAGTCTATGCTGGCCGTGTGGTGGTGGTGCACAATTTTAATCTCAGCATTTGGAAGGCAGATCTCTATGAGTTTGAGGCCAGCCTGGTTTAAAAAGCAAGTTCCAGGACAGCCAGAGTGGTTACACAAAGAAACCCTGTCTTAAAAACAAAACAGTGAAAGTCTTTGCTGGCCTGAATTCAATCAAGATCCTCCCGACTAAGCGAGAGCAGGGGTCAGCAAGCTATGGCCTGGTCATACCTGCTCTGTTCAGGACCAGGGGTAAGGATGTTTTCAACGGTTATTAAAAGCAACAACAACAAAGGATATAGGAAAGAGATTATATGATGAATTTCTGGTCCTTTCCCAGAAATGGTTGCTGATCACTGATCTAAAGTAAAGTTAAATCCATTCAAATTCAAGCTATTGTCTTTACTAAAATCACTTAGCTTTTTTTAAAAAAAAATCAAGCAAGTAACAAAAGTCTAATGATCAACATTAGTTGGAATGTAGTTTGACTCTAGTGTTAAAGTGCGTGTGTGGTGTGTGTGTGTGTGTGGTGTGTGTGCGTGCGTGCGTGCGTGTGTGTGTGTGTGTGTGTGTGTGTGTGTGCCTAAGCATATGGAGAGCAGAGGTCAATTCAGGTGTCTTCCTTTATTGCCTCCACTTTACTTTGTGAAACAGGGTCTCTCGCTGAACCTAGAGCTCTCTGGGACTGACCTATCTCTGTCGCTCAGTACTGAGGTTACAGGTCCATGCTGCCACACCAGGTTTCCTTACAGTGTTGGGGGCCCAAACTCAGGCCTTTGTGAGCTCTCTCACTGGCTATCTCCCCTCCCATCACATTTTTACGACGTTAGTGGAGGGGGCATTTTATCAGCAAAAGGAATTGTATTAATCTCCCACAGCATTTGTACTGCAACCAGAATAAGAGCGCCCCTCTTTCTTTGGTGCTTTTAGTTAAGACCTGGCATTACCTGTGGGCAAAGGCTGCTCCTCGGCACCTTTCAGCTCCGCATTTGCTTGTATATCTGAAAGGAAAGGGTTATAGGCGTTAGCGACATGGGGCGCGTTTCAACAGGATCTGAGTGAGTGTTCTGAATTTGATGAGAACAGGGCTATGTCAAGCTTAGCAGCAGGATTCCTCTCAGGGCAGAGCTACATTTCCTCCCTGCTCCCCCTAATGGTGCTGGAAGGAAAATGGAAGGAATTATCCATGAAGCATCTTCTCTTTAAGAACGAGGAACCGACTTACACTAAAAAGACTAAGGACAAGAGGGTCATGCAGGGCATGATGGTACTCAGGAAGTAAAAGCAAGTGGATCCTGGTGAGCTTGAGGTCACCCTGGTCTACAGAGCAAGACCAGTCACAGGTACACAGTGAGACCCTACTCAAAAAGTTAAATAAAATTTAAAAGTGGGTTGTTTCAGAAAGAATTTTAGATAGCCTTTATTCTTTTTCGTAATTTTGCTGATCACTACTATAGAACAAAGCAATGTTCTTCAGATCCAAGCTATACTATTCACTATTTGTTTTTATCAAAACCAGTCAGTTGAAAAAGGTCAACCAAACCCCCAATGTTCAACATTACAATCTATGCAAAGTGTGTGACCTCTCTGAAAGAGACAGGAGGGAGAAAGAGAGGGATGGGGCAAGTCTCTTGCTATGTTGCTCAGACTGGCCCCAAACTCAATATACTCTTGTCTCAGAATCTAGATTAAAACTGACGCCCCCATGGCCAAGTTCCTCCAAAGATTTTATTCAGAACATTTTCAAATAGAAAATGAGCCAGGGTAGAGTGGGACACAGCTGTAACCTTGGCACTTAAGAGGCTGAGGCAGTGGATTGCTGTGAGTTTGAGCCGAATATGGCCTACATAGTGAGCTCTAATTTGGAAAGCGCTATAGAACTAACAATGGAGCTAGAGAGATGGCTCAGTGGCTAAGGGCACACACTGCTCTTGTAGAGGACCTGAGTTCAGTTCCCAGGACCCACATCAGGTGGCTCACAACTCCAGGGGATTCAACACCCTCTTCTAGCCTCTGAGGGTATCAGAATTCACGTGTATATGCTCACACATAGACATGCACATACATGATTAAAAATGAAAAGTTTCTAAAAGGAAAGCGGGAAAATAGGGAGGGAAGGGAGAAGGAAGAGAGGGAAGACAAAAGACTGCAATGAGCTCTCATTCATATCCAACTGCATCCTACAATTTTGTGATACTAGATCTTGTGGAAAAATCTTTTTGTACACTGAAGGTGTGCCTTGCCAAGGCAGCTTCTGATTGGTTTAATAAAGACCTGAATGGCCAATAGCTAGGCAGGAAGAAGTTAGGCGGGACTTCCAAGTAGAGAGAGAGAGGAAGGCATGAATCAAGGTGTGGGGGAGAGATGCCAGAGGAGATGAAGAGGAAGCAGGATATTCAGGAAGAAAAGTAAAAGCCATGAGCCATGTCTCAGCACACAGACTAATAGAAATGAGTTAATTTAACTTATAAGAGCTAGTTAGGAGCAAGTCTAAGCTAAGACCAAGCTTTCATAATTAATAAGAAGTCTCCATAACATTATTTGGGAGATAGAAGGACAGAGAAAGACTCATTACAACTAGATGCTATTTTTATTTCATCTCACACTACTCCCCTATTCCTTGCTCTATTCATTCATTAATTCAGATAAATTTCCAAAAAAAATTAGAGATATCAGTATATTTCATCCCTATAATATCATAAACAACACTAAAATTCTATATTTTTATAAGATTTTAAGGTAAAATTTATATGCAGGGAATTGCCTATATTTTAAGTGCACCATTTAATGACTTTTCAAAAGCACATATGTCTGTGTCATGCAAATTCCTATCAATACCCAGGTGTACGTGTTCATGTCTATAAATCCCAGGAACCTGAGATCTGTGGGTTTGAGACCAGCCTTGACTACACAATGAGACTCCATGGGGAAGTGATGGGAAGGAAGAAGGAATCAAGGGAGGAGAGGGAAAGGAAGGGAAGGAGAGTAACAAGGAAGAAAATATCATCCCAGAAGGGTTTCCACAATCCCAGAAGTTTCCACCACCCCAGAAGGATTTCCACCATCCCGGAAGGGTTTCCACCACCCCAGAAGGGTTTCCACCACCCCAGAAGGGTTTCCACCATCCCAGAAGGATTCCTAACACCCAAGAAGTGTTCCCACAAACCCAGAAGTGTTCCCACCACCCCAGAAAGGTTTTCACCACACCAGAAGTGTTTCCAGCATCCCGGAAGGGTTTCCACCACCCCGGGAGGGTTTCCACCATCCCAGCAGTGTCCCCACCACCCCAGAAGGGTTTTCCTGGGAGCCTCTTCCCAGTCAGCCCTCACTCACACACTCCAGACATGTTTTCATTGTAGCTGGTTTAGCTTATTCTAGAACTTTGTGAAAATGAAATCTTACAGCCATAGGATACAAATTCTTTTGTCCTAGGTTTCTTTTAACATAACGTTTAGAATCTATGCATCCAATTGTGCTTCTCAATAGTTTATTTTTAAATTAGGTAGTATATATGAGCCCACGATTCTTCTACTCTTCTCTTGAGACACATTTAAACTGTTTCTTGTTTTGTTGTTTGTTTGTTTGTTTGAACCTTACTATGTAGCCCTGGCTGGCTTGGAGCTCACTACTTGGAACAGGCTAAACTTGAACTCACAGAAAGCCATCTGCTTCTGACTCCTGGGATTAAAGGTGTATACCACTGTACCCAAAGGTTTCTACTTTTGATTATTTTAAACAAAACTACTGTGCTATTTTTTGTAAAGAGTAAACTTGAGGCTGGAGAGATCACTCAGCAGTTAAGAGCATCCACTGCTCTCTCTTGCAGAGGACCTGGGTTCAGATCCCAGCACCCACATGGCAGCTGACAACTGTCTACAACTCCAGGTCCAGGGGCTATGATGCCCTCTTTGGAACTCTGAGGGCAACAGGCACATGTGTGGTGTAAATACATACATGCAGCCAAAACACGCATACACAGATCATATGAAATAGATTTTTAAACATTTTAAATAATAAACTTAAATTTTAAGATAGTTTTAAATTTATAGGAAAATTATGACGGTGAGTACAGAAGGTTCCCACACACTCCATACTGAGCACCCTCTATTAATAAACATCTTATCGCTAGTGTAGGACATCTGTCATAGCTCACATACAGATAGCTATTCGTTGTATTAAGTATTCAGATTTCCCTTGTTTCCATCTAATGCCTGGATTAATTTAGTCACCATGTCCCCTAAGGCTCTTCTTAGTTGGTTAGTATCTCAGACTTTCCCTGTTCAGGTGACCTTGATGGTTTTGAGAGACGGGCAGGTATTTTAGAGACTGTCCCTCAGCTGTGATGTGTTTGTTTTTCTCATGAGTAGACCATGGTATGAGGATCCTTGTAAAAAGCCTCTCAGCGGCCATATGCTTTCATAGCTCTTGAGTAAATATCCAGGTGTTGAATGACCGGGTCACAGAGTAGGTATATGTGAGGATTTAATAGAAACTGCCAGAACTTGTTCAAAAGTGGTTGTGCCACCAGCCAAACACACGTTCTTCCTGTTGCTTCGCATCTCACCCACATTTGACACTGTTGGAACTCTGGTTGACTTTGCTCTTTCAGAGAGGGTCTCACCATGTAGTCCAAGCTGGTTTCAGACTCGAGTCTCCTGCCTCAGTTTCCCCAATATTGGATTATAAACTTGCAGCACCACATTGAGCATATCATCAGGATTTTTTTTTTTCATTAGATTTATACATTTTGTGTGTGTACGTGCTCTACGAACATGCTTGGAGCCAGGATCCATCAGAAAAGGGCATCAGATCCCCTGGAACGGATGTGACTACTGAGAATTGAAACAGGTTTCTTCCTCCACGAGAGCGACAGCTGCTCTAACTGCTGAGCCATCTTTCCAGCTCCCACATCAGAACTTTAAAAGAGAGCCATCTTGAGACATGTGTATTAGTATTTCATTTTGATTGGAAATTATATTTCCCTGAAAAACCTCATAATAGTCTCTCTTTTCATGTATTTATTTGAAACATATTTTTTCCTTGTCAAGTCGTCTGTGTTCTCTGTATGTATTTCTTACATATTTATTTTTAGTGATGTAGTTAGGGGCTGACAAGGCAGCTCAGGAGGTGTGCTGTCAATCCTGAGGCTGATTCCTGAAGTCCACATGGTGGATGGAGAGAAACTACTTCTGAATTTTTTTCTTCTGACCTCCATATGTAGGCTGTGACACACACACACACACACACACACACACACACACACACACAAGTGAACTGTAAAACGTAAAAGAATCTTAAACTCTGTTTCCAGATTTTGCAATGACCTTGTTTCCTGAGATCTTACTGCAGTAACTTAGCTTTAGTGGTCTGGCGTATCCACGAGGATTTTCATAACTAATTGCCATCAGCAAAATGAAAGCATTTTATATCTTCCTTTCCAACCTTTTTATTCTTTAAATTTATTTTTTTAAGATATATTTTTATGTACACTGCTGTTTTATCTGCATGTGTGTCTGTGTGAGAGTGTTGGATCCCCTGGAAATGGAGTTACAGACAGTTGTGAGCCACTATGTGGTTGCTGGGAGCTGAACTCAGGTCCTCTGGAAGAGCAGCCAGTGTTCTTAACCACTGAGCCATCTCTCCAAACCCCTTTCTAACCTTTCTTCAGTATCTTCTCTGCTGTATTGCATGGGCTAGAATTGCTAGCACATATGAACAGAAGTGGAGACAAGGGTGTCTATGTCCTATTCCTATCATCGATGGAGGAGGGATTCGTATTTCTCCATACGTTATCTTAACCATTGGTTTTCCCGTGAGCCCAAGAAGCTCCCTTCTATTCCTGGTTTGTTGAGAGACATACTTCTTTTCCCTTTTCTTTGTTTTGAGGTTGGGTCTCACTCTGGAGCCAATGCTGGCCTGGCACTCACTATGTAGCCCAGGATAGCCTTGAACTTGTTTTTCTCCTGTGTCCAGCTCACTCCCGAGCTCTGGGACTACAAGT